AAGCATGTAAATAGAAAGACTGGGTTTCGAAAAATCCTTTAATAGATTTCATGTTGGAGCGATACTCACCAAAACGCCTCTCTCGTCTTCGTGTTTTGATCAAATATTATAAGACATGTTGTTCGGTGCGCAGAGGATCTATTCGCACAAATCTTTAGTTTCAGATCCAAGAAAATTCCCCCACAGCTTCCGGTGAGGCCGAATTACGAATCCCTTCCACTCGCTTCTTCAAACGAAATGAAAGCTGCTCCAACATCATGCTTGACTTAATGTTGGCATTGGGCTTTTGCAAAAATGACTTCCAACTGGGGGTATGTCCGTCGTATGACGGACGAAAGTTAAATTAGTGTCAAACAGTCGCAGACTACTGGGCTTTGTCGTCTTCTTCCGATGAGCTCGATCATTAGATCTCTTTGTCATTGTACGAAACGAAATTCTTTACAACAACGTTATTCAGGAGGTGCATCGAAACCCAGCTAATCTTCGTATTCTGTACCATTGTCCGAACTTGATGCAATAAACAATGTGAAGGATTACCTTTTGTCAGTGTGCCCAATTGCGCCTTCTCACCGATGCCTCGGATTCGGCCAACGCCAAGTGGTGCCTCTCGGCAACTAGACTTAACTACGCCCGAGATGCAATCTGCCGAGGGGAGGCTACTATGGTTGCAGAGTGTCATTGTTGCAGATGCCCCAGAAGCAGACACTCCTTCGGTTCTTGCGCTCTGTGGTCGCATTCGCAGTCGAGCCAGAGTGCCACGTTGTGGCCAGTGCCGGCCAATGGGCAGCTAATAAAGAAGATGTGAGCCGGCCGGAGGCGAAATGCCGGCCATAAAACGGGCCACAGGCTGAGCACGATTGTGATGGAATTTCGTTACAAGACTGCCTGTGATGAGTTGTTAACTGATGCGGGGAGGGCGGGGGGACTTGGGCTTTCATACAAAGGGTGGGATTGTTTCGGTTTTTCGGAGTACTTGTACTCTGAGCAGACTTTAGGCCCCCTCTTGTCGACTGTCGGCAAATTGGCCTGACTCGTTCTGAGCTACACACGGACAGACAAGCCTACGACCGTCTTTATGGGCGAACATGCAAATTCGTAAACACGCGTTGCTGTTACACGCATGTGAGAGAGACGGGGAGGGGAAGGGTGTCTCGAATGCATGTCAGGTTGTTATCTTGTCGGCCGGATCAGAAACCAAACGAGCCAAACCGAGCCGGACAAATCCCCCACCAAATGGAGGGTGCTGTCGGCTTGGTTGATGCGCTCAGTGCACCACATTCGGCCGACATGTGAACTGGAACCCTGTAACTCGGACAAGCTGAAACAGAGACAGGCGAGAGATTCGAGCCGGCCAGATGGAAGCATGAGGAAGAGCAAGACAGGATTTGTACATGAGGGCATGACTGGCCTGGCGTTTAAACTAGCAAGAGAGAAAGAGCAATAGAGGTAGAGAGAGAGAGAGCAACTTATGGCTTTTGTGTCTGGGCCCGACTTTCGAGAGTTGAGCTGCTCTCCAAGTTGAGCAGGTTACGGGCCCAGTGATTTGTCCCCTTGAGGATCTGCTCTGATGAGGGTCCCGGTACGACGATGAGGGGGGCGGTTTGGCCAAACAATAGGGACCTCCACTAAGGAGTGTCGAGTTGTGAGACCAAAACTGACGACCATGGCTGGGCCAGAAAATTAGCGGAAAGTGTAATAAAGTTGGGAAATACGCATACACACACACGCACACACACACGCACAAGAGAACGCACGCATGCACGGGTTGAAGTACAAGAAATTGGTGAAGAGGCGATCTCGAACAGAGGCCTATTGTGATCATCCACGTAACTCCAACTACCCATCTTGCCCCGTTGCCCCCAACAGTGCAGTGATGATGAACCTGAGCTCTCGAGTAGTCATTAGGGAAGGAGGGCAAGATGAAAATGACACACGAGTCTTGACCTTTTGCTTCCCGCCCTGTACAGTGTACACTTCATCGTCAAAAGGGCCGAAAATTGGCTCTCTTGGCTCGTTGGGCGTTGAGTGGCGTCCGACATGGGCTAACGGAAGAACGTACATGCACAAGTCGGGCGAAGGTGGTACACCGGTCGTCGGGAGGCGGGCTGTGCTTGGGCTTGGGACGAGGATAGATGGGAGAAATCTATAGAATTACGCCTTTAAGTGTATTTCGATGAAAAATGGGCAACGATATGTAGTCTGCCTGCTTGTCTCTGTCGGCAGCGGTGGAATGGTCAAAGTAGGGGCAACAACAGCGCATCTCATGTCAACTTGAGTGACGGCCATTTCGGTTTTTCGGCTCGCCGTGGCTGTTGAAGACAGACAATTTTATAATGAGTCTGTGGAGGGAAAATTTACCAAAAGGATCTGTCAGACGAGAGCCTCATTTGACGCTGTAAGTCCGATTAAGTGGAAGTTGAAACTTCGATTTCAGACTTTACCAAATTATCTGTTTCTGGCAACTGAAGAAGAAAAAATTTCCTGGTCCATATGATGAACCTGTCAATGAAGCCGACTGGTCTTGTAGATACGCACTTGGAGACCTGATTCTTGTAGACAGGGCGAACTTTACTTCACGTAGGCTTCTTCCACATGCAGAGCAGGATTCGAGCCCAAATAGCGCGTCTACTCAGCCCCAACTTATATTATTCATTGGCATATTTGGCTTTCGTCTACACATTGGGGATGTGCATGCCAACCTTCTGTCTTTGGGCTACCATATCATCAAACCCCATTGTCAAGAGGACGGATAACATGAAGGGGTGTGGGCAGACGACAGTCACATTAAGCCACCAGCATAAGTCCATGCTGCCGAAGGCATATCATGTGACCGTACTTGAAGGTACACTAGCCGATTCATTCAAGTGCATCCCAGTGCATTGTAATGTTAATATTCAGTTTTCGTGACAACTTGGAATGGGGACATTGATAAATTTTTATTCAATGAATGAGGTATCTGCAAATGTGAACAACTGAACTTCGTATTAGACAGTCTTTCTCTACTCCCCGGCCTATAAGATCATTGCACAAACAACGAAACACACAAGCGTACACATATACATAAAAGTGCACATACACAAGGTGATCTCCCACAGTGAAATGAGCATTTGGTTCGACAATGTCACCCGATTTTAACTAGCCTTATTTCCAAAGAGGCTTTTTCGTCCAAGCTTTGAGTCCCAATGAGGATGCTGAAGAGACCAAAGTGAGATCGAGGCTAGAGTCCGGCTGAGATGATGTTTTACGGATTTGTGAGGCTACAACAGATTTCAACGTGGGAGCTTCAACTAAATGATTTGATTGAATATATGAAGACCAAGATGTTGTGGCCTCTGGTGTGGTCGCAGTCTCCTTTCGATTGAT